GGCTGCGGCCGGCGGGCGCGCCGCGGGCCAGGCCGCGGCAGGGCTCCTGTCTCGGCTCTCCCGCCCTTCCTGCCGTGCCCGTCTGCAGGGCCGTGGCCTGCACACGGCGGGACATCGCCTTCCTCCTGCCAGCCGGGGCTGTGCCGTTATCTCACCGACGGCACCGCTGCTGGGGTGGTCCATGAGGACCCAGCGGAAACTGCTGTTGCTGTGCTCTACCTAAGATTGGCATGCACACCGCCAACAGCCTCCAGCGGGGTGTGCTTGTAAATGGCGATGTTAGGCGCTCGTAATCTTTTTGCATGCAGCTCTACTGAAATGTGAACTAGCCTATATTTGAAAACTTGTACTTTGATACAGGTTTGGTGTGCAAATGACCAAAGTGGTTTCTCACATCTGTGTATGTATAGCCACACCTATGTAGCTACTTTCACCTCCGTCATCCATAAAGTGAGGAGGCCTTAATCACTGTAAACAAGTTCAGCATCCGCTGTAGAAGACTACCCTAACTCTGTAGCTCCATAGTTAAAAAGCAAGTGGGATCCTTCAGTTCAGTCTTTAAAAGGACATCCATCTATTTCCTTTTCTTCATGGTTTCCTACTCTATAGGCTACCCTGGTATGAGATACTTCGTGTTTCTTGGTGAAGTGATTCTAGCTTACATACAAGAAATAAAGATGCAGTTGAAAGAGGAAAAACAGAAGTAACTCAAGCAAGAGACCACAAAGCACTTAGGTAGAAAGAGGCGTTCCATGTTTCAATCCCTGCTCAGTGTACTGTGAAATAAATGGAAGAGGCATGGGATAGGAATCAGACATAGGGTTTCTCATCTGTTAGATAGTCTCTTTGCCAGTAGACTAGAGATTCACTTTTATTTTTGCTTTTTTTCCCAGCATCTTTATCTTCATTTAACCACAGTGAAATAGCTTGAACCCCAGAAAACTTTTTGACATGGTAATTAGAAGTGTGGGTTCTAATCTCCTCACACTGAGGAGAGAATATAGATTTCACAATCTCTTAGGTCACAGGGACTACTGACCATGGTGAATCTTACAAAGTTAGATGTTGGACAAGGCATTGAAAATTCCACTTTTGATCTTAGAGACCTAAATTTGGCATGAAACGTACTAGATATGAATCTGCCACATAAGTCCATTAGAGAATCTGTGCCATTGAAACAACAGGTTTTGAACCATCTGGTTCACAGTGCCTTGTCGATTCTTAGGGTTTTATCCTGGGAAGTGTGTTTTCTTAACCATTTATCTTTGGGATCATAAAAGTACATTAAAATATCAGTTTTTTAAAATGATTTTAGCCCTCCTGGTAGCGGAAAAAGTCTTGAAAATAAGTAGCCAAGAACTTCGAAAGCAGGTAGCAGGAAAGGAGAGCTCAAACTTTTTAAAAAATATTTCATTATTTTTGACCCACTGCCATTAATTTTGTGGTACTGATGGCTGTTTTTGAATGTGTGGAGTTTTAAAAATTGCTCCTCTTGCACAAATAATCTGTTGCATCTGAGAAAGTGCTGGCCCCTAGTGACTTAATAACATCTGTTCAGTTGAAGATGAAATGTAATACTAGAATAAATAAGAACAGTAGGAATTTTTAATTTAGTTTATAATGGTTGCTGTGATTTGTGTGACAAAAATCAAATGTGCTGCAAATATTTTCAATTTTTGATAAGGCCAATATCTGGCCTGGGAGGTGCTTCTACATTGTTCATCTTTATCTATACCATTAGGAATGTGGTAGGGTGAAAAATATCTTGTAAGAGAGTGCAAGTTCAACAGCAGGATTCCAGTCTGCATTGCAACTTTTACAAAGTCTTAGGCTCAGATGAACCTTTTTGATGGGGAATAATATAAGCCTCTGAGGACCAACTGGAACGCTCTGTGGCAATTAGTTCTGTAATAGTATAGTTCAAGTTCTGGCATTATGTGGCTCAAGAGACTTTGGAAATCTGTATGGTTCATTTTTCAAAACGCTTTTAGGCCTCTTTTTTTTTTTTTTGCTCTAATTTTCCATATTCTAATTCTTATATTTAGGAAAATCACTT